GACATAATGTTATTCCATTTTTTTGCAGGGGTGGTGGTTTCCGTGACTTCAGAGATCGCAGGGGTGGTCGTTATTCAAGATCACGTAGTCCCGAAAGACCACGCAGGTCCAGGTCTTACAGCCCAGAACGACGAGACAAAGATAGGGACAGGTGAGCACAATATGAATACAAGTTTTGCATAGTTATTTAAATTATTATTTAGTCAGACATTTACTAATTTTATATTACTTTTAACAGCTACTCCCGTTACTCTGAACGCGATAGCCATCGCAGCGAGGGTGAATATGAAGAAGAAAGATACGTGGATAGGAAAGAATACGACGGAAAGTGGGCTGATGGAAATGAGCCCGAGAGAAACGCCCATCCCGAGGAGAAGCAACCCGCCGAACCAGCCCCCAAAGAATAAAATCACATGAGTTTGGTTTTGCCACAGAGTGCTAGTTTTACGGTTATGTTCTATATTTTGTTTTGGTGCAAATCACCTTACCGACGTACGCATTGACTGTGAATTAACTGATCTATAAACAAATTGAATTTTAACCCTTATTTTCTATTCTAGAATGATAACCTTATTAGAGCACAGGTGCACATGGTTATCTTATTTTATCTCACTATCTGCTCTAATCCTATTTCTAGGATTCTATATTCTGACCAAACTACACATACTATCAGCTATTCACGGTCGATTTTTATTACAAAATGTATTCTAGTTATGATTAGTTGTAAATATAGGTATAGAGTACAATATAAATGTATTCCTTTTCTGTTTTTCGTGAATGTACGTAGATTAGAATACCGGTTACGCATTTATGTTTTCTTATAAAATACAGCTTACTAAATGCTTTGCAATTAAATACCGCATTAATGTTTGGATTTCTAATTGTAACTCCAATTTCCACTCGGTAAACAGATCATTCCAAAGTTTGATGGAATGGAATAGCATATTCAGTCACTATAATAAAGAATCTTTTATTTGTAATTGGTATAACTAATTCTATAAAGTGACTTTCAATGTATTATGTTGTTTTATTTATAAAACGTATTGGACTCACACACGCGTGCAATGAATTCCACGCACATCTTTCTCATAGGTAAACAATAAGTAAGAGTAAAACAGGTTGTAGAGACAGGCAAGGGATTTTTTTTTAAGGGGGGAAAATCATCGAATGACTGCTCCCGCCTGGGTGAGGCGAGAGGGAGTGTCGGACTTTTACTGACTAAAAACCACCCCGTTCCTTCTCCTGCACGTCGAGCCGGAGCCCCGGTTACCCGTTAGGTTCTCCGCGACTCCGAATCGGCATCGGCCCTATTGGGCCCCATCTGTGGTGGTCTGATGGCTCTTTGAGGCGCGCGCGGAACGCGACGCGCCGTACGCTCGGGTACAGGCAAGGGATACATACCTACTATGAACTATACTAGCCCTTTTCCATTGCTTCGTTTTAGGGCTCGTACACAAAACTGCGATGCGCCGTCGCATCGCAAAAATGTGCAAGCTCCTGGAGATCCCCCTACGCATCGCAAGAACTTGCTAATTAATTCGCCTTGTACATCAAAATCTTTTTCCTGTATCTCTTATGCAATAACAGAATTGCACTCTTCTCTTTACGATCCATATTACCCTTACATACCTAGTTTTGAACTCAAATTCGATTCGTACGGTTGACAGATATTGTCGCTTAGCAAAATCAAAAACGTTACCCCAGCAAAATCTCGAATAACTTCGCAACCGATGAAATAAAAAATACAAACCAAGGCACAACATTACTTCATCTAGACAACTAATTTTATAGCTAGTAATTATTTGAATATTCCCATTAGAAAGAAAAAGGTCTGGCTGGGGTAACGTTACCCTAGCAGGAAATGTTTTTGTGAAATAATTAAAAAACTATAAGCGGAACAAATTTCAAAATGTGCGCAACAATTACAGAAGCATCACAACTAATTATCTATAAGATTCAAATGATCATTTTCGACAACATCTGGCCTGGGAACGCACACGAATAAGTGGTTCAATCGCCGTTTGTAGGTGTTCGAAGTGGAATAAATCTATAATTACACAGAAAGTACGAAGGTAAGTATATTTCTTATCGTAATAATGAAACTGATGTACCTACCATATTTTCCTCACCAATATTCAACAATATCAGTTATCAAGCTCATTCCATAACACAATCACAATACAGACAAATGACTTTTATTAATTTTGTACTCCTTCATATTATATCGTATTTATCTTGCTTTATCACTAGATGATTAAAACTCAAATCTGAGGTAAAAATGTTTTAATAAACATTTCATTGATAAGAAAAATAAATAATTATTAAAATATAAAAAAATTATGCATGTTTCTTCTTTTTCTTATTTTTGGTTTGGGTTCCCTTTCCGACGTTCCAGTACCAGAAAAGTTGCGCTACTATGGCGCCGTTAGCCACAGTGGACACACAGTATGTGACGATAATGATGAAGTCTCCAGTTTCCACCAGCGACGTGAATATTCTAGCTATACTGCCTCCAAACAGTAGCAGACACGTAATCGCTGATAACTGTCCAGTACTACCATTCTTGTAATTCGTGATTACTTGGATAGACTGCAAAGAAAAAATACTATAGGCATACTATATAAAATAATATAGGTAAATGACAAATTAACAAAATTTCTTGGTTTCCAAAGGATTTCCATGGATTAGTTAAAATTAAACATATCAAATAAATTAACTCAAAATCGCGAGTTACTCACATGAGTATACTGAGAAAAGCTCTACTAGTTTCGAGCCACAGAGGACCTCTTCCTCATGAGCAGCGTGCGCGACATCGCCTAGTATATTCACGTGAGTAACCGTGATTTTACTTAATTTAGTATGTCTCACGATAGTTATTATAAAAGCATTATCAAATAACGAGGAATAAGAGCACAAATAAAATATATTATGTAAAATGAGAAAATTTATAGTGTGGCACATAAGGAGCCATAATTATCTTTGTCATAGTCTTCTTGAATGAATGAACATAGTCTAAATGATTAGAAGACATTAAAATGGTTTTGAAACAATACAATGTATGAAGGATTATTCTGTAACTAGAATATTCAGGTTCCCAGGTCTTTGAAGGCATATTATAATATCGTTTTTGTATATTATTATCAATGATAGATGTTGCTGATTACATCTGTAATGTTTTTGTAAACAGTTATAGTAGTTTAAACAGCAACCACATAAAATTTTACATAATCTCTTATTATAAATTCTGTAACTATAGGACTTTCATGTAAATGTTCAAATTATCATAATTTTTGAAATATGTAAAGTTCATGACTTAGCTTTGTAGATATAAAACATTTATTATATTTAGTAAAATATGTCTAAAGTATTTTTCACTATAAGATATTACATTAGGATTTCTTAGTCATAAAAAGAGACAAGTTTTTGATATCTCTTGATCGACAAAGACAAAAATGTTATAGAAATGTTTCAATGCACCATAGCTTATCCAATAGGAATTGGTAGCAGTTTAAGGCAAAAATATTTAAGTTAATTATATAAAAACTATTTATTACCTTGGCTATAACAATAATAGGCACATTAACAGCTTGCATGGTCCACAGAACATCTGTAGGAGTAAAACCACTGACTAGAGCGGACACAATGCCTGTATATGTGGCTAAAAAGAGGCCAGCTGTGCCTGTTGATCCTCCATAGTGCAAAACAGATGCTGCAATGATGGCTGTTTGTATCGCTAAAAATGTGCCTTCTCCCCATGCACTGAAAAATAGATAAAAATTTAAATAATCTTTTTATTTATGGAATATAAACAAACATTTTGTAGTACTATTGCTCAAGTCAGATCAGTAAGGACTTTTGCCTCATAATTCTGATATATAACAATTGATATTAGTTCCGAAAATACTCACCTAAATGGAAAGCCCATAACGTAACTGTAAGCGAAGTTTGCTGTGATAGCAAACAACTCCAGATACACTCCATAAATATTGATGCCCTCTGCACTCTTACTGCCTAAAATCTTCAATATTTGAGGAACTTTTACAAGAATAGAGCCGGCAATGATACCGATGCCGAGACCTTTACTAAGGGTCGCGGCCATACAAGGACCTGAAATATTATAAAACATTTATCTTTATAAACATGAATAAGTACAATAGTAAAGGAAACAGTAACCCACACACATGAATAACTGTAACATAAATTAAAACAAAATCTCAGCATTCCAAGAAAAAATATGTAGCACATAATTACCATCGAGAAAGTTGTATTTCTCGAAATATTCTTCGTAGCATTTCTCAGTCAAAACCGATAACAATAAACCTTTCAGGAATTCTGCCATTATGCTTATGTACTTTGGAATCGTAACAGTGAATAAATAGTAAATCTAATATTTGTTCAATACATCTAAAACATTTATTGATTTATATCTTATCAACTACAACAACCGGCTACGAACAAAGTTCACGTAATAAATAAAATATACCGGAAATTGAATTAGTTTGACATTGATGACACGACAATACTGTGACAGTTTTGACGTATGAGCCAGTGTTGTCAATGAATAAAAAGATAATTTCCCTTAGACTCTTTGAAAAACATACAATTTTCAATTTCAAATGAGTTCTTTGATATTTTCTAAATATAACAAATCAAACTGCAATATTAATATATTTTTTTAGTGAAGTTGAAAATTAGAAAGATCGTTTAATCGTCATTGTTACAACTTGGCAGTCAAGTCATTGTTACAAGGACACAGATGTGCCTTCATCCTATCAGTGGTAAGGATAATGATCTGCTGGAGAATGCAACGCGATGACATAATTTGGAAGATTGACCGAAAGTAGTTTAGCAAAATCTCATAACAAAGGCGTTATGATTTATGTTCGAAGCGTCTTTGTAACTATTATGCATTTTCTTCATATTTTCTTCCTGTTTTCTGTGCATTTGTATAAAATCAAGGGTTTCATCTATAAAAACAATTGTAAAATAAAACAAATAAATCTGTGAGGATTTATTTTATTAATTAAATGAATAATGATCGACTAATACTAAGAATTTTCAGGGCAACTTCAAGTTTATTGTAAATGAAATCTTTAAACACCACAACATTCTTGTATTTTGTTTGTTCAAGGTACGCATAAAGTTTATTAGATGACATTAATAATTAAATGTCGATACGTAATTTAATAAACACACACTTCATGGTGATAGCAATTGATTAACTCATCCTTAAAACGAGGCGTTTCTCATAATCTGTAGGTTTGTATAAATACTTATCTCTCTTTGTGCAAAATGCGTAATCCCTACCTTACACTATAATTACAATTCGTCAATGACTTATACATACATGTCTTAGAAATAACGAAATTACACGTTAAATCAGCCAAGTAATTTGGTATGCAGATAAAAAATTAAAGATAGCAAAATTAATGATTCTTAACAGAGACAGAACAAGGAGTATGAGACTGTAGCGACACATAAATGACAACTAATGGCTCCAAAAGGTACAGCTTCATTAGAAAGCAAACAATGGATACTATCTCTGGACACTGAATAATCTATATTTTCTGCATACTAAATAACTAGGCTGACTATACAACATACATGTAATATGTTAATCATACAGTTCCTATATCTTTGTGTGGGATGATATTTTTAAGATAAGATATCAAAGGTTTGTTTGCATCCATGGCAATGTTGAAATCTTCTATGTACACAATTTACTTCACTTATCAACCTGAAATAAATTACAGATATCGATGTTCAATCATCATGTTTGGGGTAAAATCCGTTGCGGAAATTATTTCCCAACTATAGATATATCCTTGCACAAACTTGCACTTTTTATGAAGTAACATCAGTGTTGGCTTCACAGAAAAACTCAATTCGATAGATGGACTTGTTCGCTAATAAAGTAGAAAATTAATAATGAAATGGACATACAGCAAACTTATCATCCCTACAATAGTATAACTGAAATGTTACACTTTTTATGTAACATTTCAATTAAGAAATATTTATCCTAAAGAATGATTCAATGAAACTTAAATTATGTATCTTAAATTTATAAACATAATATGTACATTCGTAAAGTTCTATATAATATAGTTTAATTTTAAACGAAAATAATAATTACGGTCTTGAACGAAAACCTAAAAATGAAACGGCTTTAGCTACAGTACATATTAATTCTGTCACTTTGTGGCACTTGGTAGAACTGTAATACACGTTTGAAATAGTTAACAATAAGTATTGCATAACATATTCTGCAAGGAATGAATTTATGACCTTTGTTGGTCCACTGTAGCCTAATTTAATATACTAGAATTCTATAATTTTAAACTATTCTGCTTCTATTTCTTTGTTTGTAAGTACTACAATATTTCTAAGACTATTTGAGAATTGAGTGGAGTTTCTTCTTTCATCTGGACATAAGTTATTTACTAAGAATGAATGCATTAGAAAGGGTATAAGTTTATAAGGCTCCTCTGTGAAATGTCTTCTAAATGTAACTGCAGCACTTAGATCAGACTAATTCTTAAATCTATTCAACAATTTGTTTAACTTTACAGTAACTTCATGATACAGTTCACAAAAATATATTACTGTTGGACAGGCAACACTATGAATCTCCAGTACAAATAAATTATTTATAATTATACAACATTGGACGATAACTTTGATGTACCAACAATTAAACATATTATGGAAATCAGACATGTTATTAACTTTATTGTGCTAAAGATTTCATATAACGAGTATACTCTGCTGTAATTTATAAAGATTTAATCATTAATTTCATACATGTGTTCGTTTTTCTGATAATTTGACATAATTGTACCAATGGTTGAAATTCGTAATTTGCTTAGCATCTGGTGTTGCATAGTACTATCACAACTTCTTAGTTAACTACCAAAAAATTATAGAACATGCTGTCTATGGAAAAAAAGTGAAATTGTATCAGAAACTAATCTAAAAAAAGATGTCTCTTAGGTAAAACCTGTAAAGTAAATTATGACCTTACTTTAATGATTCTAATTATCTAGTAACACCTTTAGCATTGAACTCTGCTCATGACAGTGTGTTCAATGAAAAAGAAAGTTTAGGCCTTGAATTATTTTTGCCTAAAATTTTCCTCTGTTCCTCTTTTATTCTTTTTTCTTGTTCTTTTTTCAGTTTCTGCCTCTCTTCATCCATTTTTCTTTGTTCTTCTATCATGGCTAACCTCTCCTCAGCCTGGAAATATAAGTTTAACTAACTTAGTACATGTAATGAAAATAACTGAGGAGTGTTTATGCTTTGTTTTTCTAAACTCTTGCAAAAAATATAGCATTTTTTAAAATATGTGTCTGGCAAAAACCTTATCTAGTTCACCAGTAACAGTCAAAGAAATGGTTTCACTCACCAGCTTCCGCTGAGCCTCTTCAATCTTTTTATTATTTTCTGCCATGATTTCTTCCAACTCTTTCCTTTTACGTGCTTCTTCCTCCTGTATAATAGAAATACCATGTTAATATTGATCTTTATTTATAAAAGCAACACTATGCATTAAAATAGTTCACACAAACTATCGCCCTCTATCAGCAGTTTGTGTAAACTTCAACTTGTCAGCCTTCTTCATTCATAACATAAATAATACAGTTGAACACATGTTTACGGTGACTTTAAAAGATTTTGGTTTCCTAAAATAATAATTTTAAAATAGAGAAAAAAAAACATAAGTATGCAATGTCATAAAATATTTAATGATGAAACATCATACAAATGTGTATTTCCTTCATTTAATGTGGTTATACAAAAAATAGATTCAAAAAATACCTTCAGCTCGCATGTCTGGATCCTCAAGCTGCGTCTCCATAAAATTCTTAGGGCTTCTCGTTCTTGATCAGTCTTCCGACCTGACTTATAGACTACGTGACTGCCAGGGACAGTCAAGCGAACAATTTTAAAATGCTAGCCGGACGCCTTCATGGCAAACTTACAATATGGCAGGAAATAGTATAAACTCTGCCTTGTAGGTGCGTATGAAATATGTGGTTATAAAATGGACATGTAGGTATATAATATAATTATTAATTACAGAGACAGCCAGCCTCGGTGAGTGACATTAATAAGAAATCAAGAAACTAATTCTTGTAAGCACTCGAACTACACCTGACTGGACCTTTAACAGATATGATCGAAATAATACTTTCATTAGTTTCTCTAATTGTTATGATGCTGGTATTAAATATTGCATTTACACTTGTGTGACTGCGAGAGCAACATAAGTTGCTGTCGCAGGGTATGTGTTGTCATGTGTAGATGCAACATTGTGTTGTGTTGCCAGTACACATGACTAGTATGTACTATAACCAGTTACCTGTCTAGCAAGCTCCTCGCGCCGCTGTTGTTCCCGCTGTCTCTCCAGTTCTTCCATCATTTCTTTCTCCATCTTGCGTTTGGCTTCTTCAACTCGTTTAGCCACTTCTTGTTCAATTTCCTCTTTTCTTTTTTCTAATTCCTCTTCTACCCTTTTCTTCACCAACAGCTCTATTCTTTTTGCTGCTTCTTCTTCCACCACCTGAAATAGGACAATGATGGATATGTTCAGGTAAACATAGTATCTAATTGGTACATTTATAAAAGCACACACAATACAGGAAAAATCTGTAAACAAGTTTATTTGTTTACTAAAATGTAAGCAGTCACCACCGTGAAACTCACCTACAAAATTACATTACACATTTAATAACATAATTATTGTTAACACAACGCTGATTTGAATTTTTAAATTAATAAACTCGGAATATAATATAATAAATACACAAATAATTCTGATGCTCTTACAACTGATAAATTTGAATTTTGACATTTTATCTCATTTGCAATTATAATTTTATTGGTCACAATAATTGATGACGGAAATTGGGAAATTTCATAATATACCTTCTTATTTGTTTGATCTTCATATCTATTTTCGAATAATGTACAAAATATCATAAAGCACCTGCTAGGTACTAAATAGTGACCATGTTTCAAAATGTTTTATGACAATATTTACCTTCTGTTCTGCTTCTCTTACGCGTCTCTGTCTTTCCATTTCAGCTAATCTGTCGACCTCATCCATTTTGCTACGTCCCTTAGACTTCTTCCTGTGACTTCTACTGCCTTCATATGAAGCGTCACTACTGGTGGAAGACGACATGGAATGCGATCTTTTTCTGAAAATACACCACAGTAACGTCAAAAACATGTATACAAAATACTATAGAAAAGCTTACGTATTAATGAACGTAACTTACCTTGACTTAGAACTACGTTCTCTAGATTTTTCAATAAGTTTGGAACTTCTACTCCTTGATGTAGAACGATCCTTAGAACGACTCTTCTTCCTAGAATGTTTGCTACTTTTATGGTGCCGCCGCGGCGATTTACTTCTTGATCTTGAACGGCCCATTGTATTTAAAGTTGAAAGATAATAATTTGCAAGCTCAATAATAAAATATTAACGTTTCCACAAACATTCACAACTTCACATAGCTACACGCATTGCTACCTACCTATGTTTGACAAGCGACGCCATTTTTTTGCACAGCACTGTGAAAATCGAATGACTCGAACTACGATCGGATACACTCATGTATGTAGTATACCATAAAGTCGTTTTATTTTTCATTACAACCGGAAAAGAATCTGTGTGCGTTTTTAATTCAATTTTTCCCGCCACTTGCATTAGTAAAAATAATAATTAAGTTTGAATTAAGGAAAAGTTAGTTAGAATGTTAGTAAGTTAGTTAGGGGCAGTTGTACTGTGCAGATACTACCTGCAAAATAAAACTTCTACATGCAAGCCGTGCACGTTGAAGTTGTATTTTCGTTGCTGCAAAGCTGCAAGTTCTATGCTTGAGCAGACCACATGCATAGAAAGTAAACGTAAGCGTAGGCGCACATACTACTAAGTAAATTAGTTATACATGTAACACGTACTTGTAATCTGCGGAATTGTATGAGACAGACAGGCCCGCCGCTAGCTATTATACCCCCCTCCCCCCAATTTTGTTGTTTTGTTGGGTGGGAAAAAGTCATCAAATGACTCTTGTGGAAGTGATTCTTACATCTCTTACTTACTAAAAACCACCCCATTCCTTCCAAAACTTGCTCAATGCCAGGGCCTCAGTACTCATATGACAACCTCCCCTCCAGCAAGGCCCCGTCTATGGTAGTCTGATGGATCTTTGAGGCCCATATTTTGCGGGACGCACGCCATACGCTCGGGTCTGGTACTTTTCAGCTGGTGAGCTATCCTTGCTTGACGTCCACAGACTCGCGCTTACGTTGAGATCCCGACAATGCGACGCGATACTACATCCAAAGCGTTTCCTGCTACCTCTCGAAAATGATAGAGGATACTCGATGGATTTCGAGTAACTTTTGAAAGTTTTCGCGCGATAGTTTTCGAGTCTTTCTACAGTGTTCGAGGACGCTCCATCGTCTTCGCGGACGCTAGATAATTTTCGAGTTACTCTCGAAAATTATAGAGGATACTCATAGATTTCGAGTAACTCTAAAAAGTGATCGAGGTCGCTCGATAGTTTTCGAGTCTTTCTACAGTGTTCGAGGACGCTCCATTGTCTTCGCGGACGCTAGATAATTTTCGAGTTACTCTCGAAAATTATAGAGGATACTCATAGATTTCGAGTAACTCTAGAAAGTGATCGAGGTCGCTCGATAGATTTCGAGTAAGTCTCGAAAGTGATAGACGACACTCGATAGTTTTCGAGTATTTCTAGAAAGTGTTCGAGGAATAATCAAGGTTCGTTCAACGCTCGATGGTTTTCGACGACGCTCTATGGTTTCCGAGTACGCTTGATTATTTTCGAGTAAGTCTCGAGAGTGATCGAGGACGCTCCATCGGTTTCAAGAACGCTCGATAGACTTCGAATTTAGGGCGCCACTGACCGGTTTAGGGCGCCAAAAAGTAAGCTCAGAAGGATTTTTGTATTGGATTTGGAGCGCCATCAAACAGGAGTAGTGGATTCTCCTTATTTTACCAGTCTTACCTTTTGCAAACATCAACAACATTAAGGATACTTGTATATAATTAGGGCGTAGGGGTATAGGGCGGCAAAAAGTAAGCTTAGAGGAATTCTTATATCTGATTTGGGGTGCCATTGACCGGTATTGGGCAGGCCTGGAGACAGGACATATTACATGTAAACTAATTGTGTATCGTAGATATGCACGTCGACGTACAATCCCATACACTTCTCCCCAAAAGTATGTAGACGTGGGTGATTTTTCAAAAATCCTTGACATAAATTAACTTTTATTTAACATAAATCTAATAGTAGTAGTAATAGTGGTAGTTTAGAGCCAGGAGACCGACATAGGATACTTTTTAAGTAATACTTTTTTTTTACTTTTTACTGAAAACCACGAACGGGGACGGGGAAAAATGGGATTACGCGTACGAAGTCGCGGGCAGAAGCTAGTAATAAGTATATAAAACAAAGTCGTGTTAGTTACACTATTTATTTTTATTTTATTTTATATTTAGAACGGCTAAATCGATTTGGATGAAAATTGGTGGGGAGGTAGCTTAGAGCCAGGAGACGGACATAGGGTACTTTTAATCATTTTTTTTTTACTTTTTATCGAGTATCACGAACGAGAACGGGAAAAAACAATATTGCGCGTACGAAGTCGCGGGCAGAAGCTAGTTATCAATATTTTATTGCATTGCTTGAGAAGTTGAGAGCAAGGTCATAGTTACAATTTTCAAATTAACATGTTGAGGATAGCGACGTCGTAACTTTTTTTAAGAATCATCGAATTACTTATTCGCATTCGGTCTGCTCGATCCTTAATTTAACCTATATCAACTTCAAATATAATAAAAATGAATTTTCTGTTTTTTACACAGACATAGATTTTTATGTCTATTACCAAGTCGAAACCAGGATCAAGTTCCTGTTCGAGGTCTGCTGATAATCAAACGGTAACGATGGGCCATGAAGTTTTTATGTAGGTACTTAGTAGTAAAAAATTTAATAATATGCAATATGAAATATAGTAAAGAAATGTATTAAAGCTTGATCTTGTGTTGTAAAAACTATGTACATAGTATTATATTAACTTGACGGTGATATAAGATTTGAATCATAGTCGTCATAAGCCGTCACTGTTGCAGGTAACGCTTCACGTTTGCGGATTGCTTTCTGTAAAATATTCCTTTTCTTTTTTATTAATAAAATTAATGAGTTTAGTTGTGGCTTCGAGCATAATTTCTGTCGATGCGGAAGGAGATGTGATGCTTTCTTTACTTCTAGATTTACTTAATAATTTTACAACTTCAAGCTCACTAATGTCGTTGAAATTCGTTTTGTAAGAGTCTACGCCAACGTAACTGCCCTTGCCAATAGGGCCATCATCTAGTTCGCTAAAACCAAATGTTCGATCACTAGTAACGTCAACAGGCTTAACAGGTTCCACTCGACTCAAAGACATTTTCATTATTTTATTTACACTTTTAACCGGTTGATGGGCTACGTAACATTCAACAGGGGTTGAAAATGATCGCATTTGATGTCCAGATTGTTTTTTTTTAAAGCTGTGTGTGGAGACGATTCGGTCCAAAAGCTCTTCCAGCTGTCCAGTAATCACGCTCGCTGCTACATTAAGCTCATCTTCCGATCGCGAACGACGACGTGTGGTGGTTTCTTTTTCTTTCTTCATAGTGGTATTACTGTCGTCTTCGGGTTCTACCATTACTGTGTCGTATTTGTTTTTAATTTTATCTAATATGGCTTTGATGTTATTTACTTTGTCCATATCTTCATCGCAATCGTAAGATTCTCTGAGATCAATACTGCCCTTGTAGAAATAATCGTTTGGTAAAGAAACGCCTCGAACAAATAGATCTAACGCTCCTCCGTATTTTGGTATAGTCATTGGTTGCCGATAAATACATTCAAACCTTCCTGTTGACGATGTTGGATCTCTAGCAAAGTCAATAACAACTGAAATAAAAAGAAGTTTCTATAGGTATTTAGGCATCCTGAACTAATGGAACTGGCAGATCTACGTTATCATTTATGTTACACATGACATGAAAAGACATGAAATACTTATTGACTACAAAACTTAGGACTGTTTCCTTCCTTCCGCATACTATTGTTGCAACAATTCGATCAAAGAGGCATTTCACTTTAGTCAGACGTTATAAAAATAGATTACCTACCTTTTATTAAATCTGTAAGAACTGCTGGACATATCTTGGCTGTTACAGGCGTAGTGTGGTTAAGGTCTGGACTTGAATTAATTTCAATTAACCACGGTTTATATTCCTTGTCAAGGATAAAATCGCAACCGTACAGCTCGAAGCGATTCTTACAAACTGATAAAGAATCTTGGCAACTTAACATTATGCCGATAATGGATTTCTTCATTCCAGGGTAGATGATTTTTTCCCACACTTTACCTTTATCAAGTCTTTTTAAGTAATCTTTGTACATATCAGAATCCCACATATTGGCAGTAGGAAGTTCCTTATGCCTTCCTTCACAGTTAATGTACTTTCTCTGAACTGCATTATTCGTCAAATGTATAGACTCATGGTAGTTTTTCAAATTGTACTTTTGTGAACTAAACTTCAAATAGCAGTCTTTATACATCCATATCACTAATGGATATGTGCTTGTGACTAAACAATATTGTCTTATGTCGAATTTTGTTTCGTGTATCAATAGTGGTTCTTCTGTAAATGAAATATTAAGTACAGGACCTTTTACGAAAAAATTAGTCTGTCTTCTACAAAGTTACAAATTAATTTTATTTCATCAACCTAAAATTGACTTAAAACACAACATAACATCACGCCTTTTATCTCCAAAGGGGTAGGCAGAGGTGCGAATTATGCCACTATATAATGTAACACCCACTTTTCACTATTTATGTTACGAGTCCTATGTAATAGGGGGTGAACCTATTGCCATATACCGGGCACAATTTTAGATTCTGTGCTACTACTGAGAATTTTTTAAAATCCAGTAATACTATGACCGACCCGGGAATCGAACCCGAGACCCCGAGACCCCTTGCCCGGCAGTCGCACTTGCAACCATTAGGCCAACGAGGCAGTCTCTCTTACCAAACTTAAAACTTACCAATATATTTCTGAATGACATATTTAGCGTTAGCTTTATTAAGTAAGTCAGTAATCACTGTCAACCTGGAAGCCATTCTGATGCCTCTACCTCGTGAGTTATGAGCTGGTTTAATGATCCAGATGTTATGGCACCCCTCACAACTTAATTGCGGTCGGTATTTATGCATTTCTTTCAACAAAAATTTTGCGTACGCCATATATAGCGGTAACTTATTGTCAGTATCTGCTTGGAAAACATCGTCTCTTGCTATAATACGATAATATTTTTTCAAGAAAGTATTCCATTGTCCCATAGATACATTACTTATGGATCGATCTATATCTTTATGTTCTTTTTTATATAAATAATCTTTACATCTACTCAAAGCAAATAGCACAACATTCAACGATATCTTTCCAGTGTCTACAAATATTGGTCTCTCATTGG